TGGCAAAAGAGCCAACTTACCCCTTCTACTCGAATTAACCACTTGGGGGCCATAATTGATTCGGTTTCACAGAGAGTTTTCCTCTCTCCGGAGAGGTTCCTTAGCATTCAAGCCCTGGTCAATCAGATCAGGCGTTCAAGGAGGGTGGCCTTGTTGGACCTCTCTAAATTGTTGGGCAAAATGGTATCATGCATCTCCATTATTCCCTGGGCCCGTCTACACAGCAGATCCCTCCAATGGTTCCTGCTCCCGTTCCAACGATCCGGAAGAAGCAACTCGAGAGTCAAAGTCAGGGTCCCTCCAAGGGTCCTCACGTCTCTTCTCTGGTGGACCAATCCCGCCATCAACAGAGGCCACCTCTTCGCGGAACCTCAACGACTCACCGTCACTACGGACGCAAGCCTATCCGGTTGGGGCGCTCATCTCGACTCGATCTCTGCACAGGGCAAATGGTCGCTGACCGAGCAGGGGTGCAGCATCAATTGGCTAGAGCTTCACGCCGTCCTTCTGGCCCTGCGCAGCTTTCCTCAGATCCGCAAACATCACGTTCTCGTGCTCACGGACAACGTCACGGCCAAGGCCCATATCAACAGGCAAGGGGGCACCCAGTCCATCCAGCTAATGAGGGAAGCCGAGCGCCTTTGCCGCTGGGCAGAATCCAACCTCCTATCCTTAAAAGCCGAACACATCTCCGGAGTAGACAATACTCAGGCGGACTGGCTGAGCAGGGCCACGGTGGACCAGGCGGAATGGCGTCTCCATCCATCCCTTTTCGAGGAAGCGTCCAGAATATTCGGCCTTCCGGTGGTGGACCTCTTCGCTTCCCCGACCAACACTCAGCTTCCACGGTTCTTCTCCCGGTATCCGTCTCACAGGTCGGAGAATCACAACGCTCTGCGTTGCCCATGGCCCCCAGGGCTCCTATATGCCTTCCCTCCGCTCCCGTTAGTTCCCAGAGTAGTTCAAAAACTCATTCAGGAGAGGGCAGAACTTCTCCTGGTGGCTCCCTATTGGCCCAGGCGACCGTGGTTTGCGGATCTCCGCATCTTATCAGTAGCGCCCCCATGGAGGATCCCCCCGGACAAGGTCTCCCTCTCTCAGGGGCCCCTTCTGCATCCGGAGCCTCAATGGCTCCAGTTAGCCGTCTGGAGGTTGAGCGGATCCGTCTGACTTCTGAGAAACTTTCAACTCAAGTCATCGACACTATTTTGGCCGCCAGGCGTCCTTCCACCACACGAATTTATGATGCCACTTGGAAAGGGTTCTGCAAGTGGTGTAGCGGGTCTCAGGTTAATCCCCTCTCTCCCTCGGTGGCACAGATCCTGGAATTTCTTCAGGAGGGTCTTCGCAAGGGGCTCGCACCTAACACCCTGAGACGGCAAGTTTCTGCTCTCTCAACCGTGGTCTCCTGTGATAACTACGGTTCCCTTTCTCACCACCCCAGGGTTAGATCTTTCCTTAGGGGCGCCACCAACCTGTGCCCTCCTACCGTTCACAGGTTCCCCACATGGGACCTCAACAAGGTCCTCGTTTCTCTTACACGTCCCCCGTTCGAGCCTTTGAGGGAGTCATCCCTGCAGTTTCTCACTTTCAAGGTAGTTTTTCTAGTAGCTATTACTTCTGCTCGTCGAGTTTCGGAATTAGCAGCTCTGTCAGTCAGGAGCGATCTATGCGTGTTCCACGCAGACCGGGTGGTCCTTCGTCCCGACCCTACCTTTCTACCCAAAGTTAACTCTCCCTTCCATAGGTCACAGGAACTGATTTTACCAAATTTCTGCCTCAGGCCCTCCAGGGGCAGGGAGGTCCTCTGGCACACCCTAGATGTTAGAAGGGCCTTGCGTATTTATATTAAGCGCACTCAATCCATGCGAAGGTCGGAATCCCTCTTCCTATCCTTTCAACCCAGGTCAATGGGGCTTAAGGTTTCTCCTTCCACCATCAGTCACTGGATCAGGGCTACTATTGCGAGGTGCTACCTTTCCCATTCTCTGCCCGCTCCGGGTGGGATAACCGCCCATTCCACCAGAAGTGCAGCCACCTCGGCGGCCTGGGCCACGCAAGCCCCCATCGCTGACATTTGTCGGGCGGCCACCTGGACCTCCCCGTCCCCGTTTATCAGACATTACAGAATAGATTCGTACGCCTCAGCGGAGGCCTCTTTTGGCCGACGGGTCTTACAGAGGGTCATCAGTGATCCGGAGGGGCCTTCGGACCAGACGGAGTCCCACCCGTAGGACAGCCCAGCTTTGGTATGTCCCAGTCTCTGGATGCTCCGAGCGGCTCGAAGGAGAATGGGCGTTGGTTCTTACCTGATACGCCCCTTCTCGGCGAGCCGCGAGGAGCATCCAGCCCCACCCTAATTTCTCCGTCTGGTGGGGACTCTTTCTTCAGCCAAGGAGCCAATAGTAGATTAGAAAGAATTAATAACCTCTCTTCTCGTTATCGCAAAAACTGGGGAGGCGCTCCGCGATGTCACGTGAGGGGGCGGAGCGTTTCCTCGTCTAGAGCTCAGCCTGCAAGAAGAGGACTCGGAAGCACATCCCAGTCTCTGGATGCTCCTCGCGGCTCGCCGAGAAGGGGCGTATCAGGTAAGAACCAACGCCCAGTTCATTGCAAGCTGCTCTTCCTTTCTGTTGTAGAAAGCAATGTGGCATTTTCTTTCTTGCAGATGAGAGTCACATATTCTCATTATTTAAGAGAACAGGTTGTCTTTTATTTTCCTTGATATATTTAGTTAATGTGTAAACTTTTCACAGTATATTTATGGTAATCTTTGAAGTATCATTCCTTGATTATGTCAGAAGGATAGTATTTCAGAAGAAGTGCAACATATTTGATTTCTTTGAGTAGATATTCAAATAAAACAAAAAAGAATGTTGGCTGAACTCTGTTTACCATGATTACTAAGTTCCTTAAGTGGGATAAGTCCATCATTCCTTCTAAAGGAAACCTTAGAATAAAATATTCAAAATCCAAATGACTATTAAGAAATTAATCACAAACTTCTGAAAGAACCAATATTGAAACTCAAATATTTGACACATATTATAATTACTATAACTTTTCCAAATTCACTTGCATTTTATGTCAATATGATAATAGAGAACATGAAAAATATTTGTAGTGCTTATTACATTTATATCGCTGCTCATCTCACATAGCAACTCTATATTATTGAGTGACCAACATTCTGACATCGTTTAGAACAGTGGTCCCCAACCTTTTTTGTACCAGGGACCAGTTTCAAGCAGAAACACTTTTTCAAGGATGGGGGGGGGGATTCTATTTTCCATTCCCAAAACTTTATGTTTACCCTACAACTAGCATTAAAGACACCTGACTGCAGTCTCTCTAGTTCTAGGTCTTGCCCAGCTATGTAGCTACAAAATTTCATGCAGATGTTTCTCTTATCTCTGTTTGGTGAAAACAGGAATTGAATGAGGAGCATTTAGTCAGTGTGTTTTCCCTAGCAAGCTCCTGTAGTCCTTGTTTAGGGATCATTCAGAGCTACGATGGACCTCTAACATCCAGCCCAGGAAGAAACTGCTTCAAAGAAGCCGGGGGTGGTGGCTTTTCCTGTTGCCGCAGCTCCTCCGAAGCACCCGTTCACCCCCACCCCCACCCCGCCTGCCCGCGCGCGGTTCAACCCAGTGCTCCGTTCTGCCTGCCTGCCTGCCTGCCTTCGTTTCTGGTTGTTTCTCACGAAGGCAGGCAGGCAGGCAGGCAGAACGGAGCACTGGATTGAACCGCGCGCGGGCGGGCGAGGTGGGGGTGAATGAGCGCTTCGGAGGAGCTGCGGCGACAGGAAAAGCCACCACCCCCCGACTTCTTTGAAGCAGTTTCTTCCTGGGCTGGTGGAGCAGCGAGAGAGCGACTGAGAGAGGAACGAGGAAACCGAAACCGCTGAGCCAGAGAGCAGGACAGGCTTTGGTTGCTTCCTCCCTCCCCTTCTCTCATTTGTGTCTTTGATCCCTGATCCCAGCAGCATTCACCGAAGACGAAGAAAGCCGCCATTATTATTATTATTTTTTGCGGCCCGGTACAGAGTGCTCCACGGACCGGGACCGGTCCACGGCCCGGTGGTTGAGAACCCCTGGTTTAGAATGTAAATAAAAATGTACTCTTGGTCTATAGGGCTCACTGGAGCAAGCTTCATGTTACCAGAATCCATGACTCAGGAAAGGATAGTGATAAGGACTGAAGCTATGACTGAATTGAAGTGATGTGTATCACAGGCATTATTTGATTGTAATAACTGATACATAAAATATATTATGTTTTCTTGAATGAAAACTACAGAGGGAATTGAAGAAAATGAATTAACCCTAGAATTATTGGATAATCACACACTTTCAATGCCTTCGGGTCATCGACTTGTTTCAAATTAATTGATTTTGCTCTTTAATGAATTCTTGCTTTGTTCATTGCTATTTGAGGTTAGTTGTGCATGCCTTGAGCCAACCCACAACTTCCTTTTCAAAAAGCCATAACAAAACTTTTATTAACTTTTCAGGTATTTTTCTTTCTTTTCTTGTGTTTGCATCTATTTCTCTTTTCTTCATACATAAGCAGTGTGAATTCTCCAATTTTTGTTAAAACGAAATCTTGTATTCTGAGAAAGTATCTTCTTAGTAACCTGGCATTCTAGATAAAGACTTGAATTGTTCCAGTTTGCTTTGACTTGGATTGAACATCTTATTGAGAGATGATTTCACTTCTGCTCACACTTATGGTTTACAGCAGGGGTCCCCAACCGCCGGTCCGCGGACCGGTACCGGGCCGCGGAACAAGCCTTACCGGGCCGCTGGTTGCTGGGCGCCGCCATCTTTTTTTTGGTAAAAAAGCGCTTCTGGTGAGCTTTTCCGGGTAGAAAGCTCACCGGAAGCGCCCTTTCGTCATAAAAAGATGGCGGCGCCCAGTTGACGCCGGTACCGGGCCGCGGCGCCCAGCTGATGTCGGAACCGGGCCGCGGCGTCGAAAAGGTTGGGGATCCCTGGTTTACAGCATAGCTTCTGGCTTCACAAAAGGTGGGTAGATCACAGTGGTCAAATCTTGACAGATTTTTCCAGGATTGAAAGATGGTCAAGAAGAGACATTAATAATTCACAGCAACTGGACTATTGTTGTGGTGGGGATTGCTATATGTAGTATATGTATTGTTGTATATGTAGTTTCTTGCAAAGAATTTCTGCATAGTTTTGGGAAATTAGTTCTCTTTTTATAACAACATTTAATTAAACAACTTATAGAAAAGTAATAGTAAATAAGGTATCCTAAACAAAAATAAATTGGTTTTAAAGATCCATGTTGAAAGTACATCTAAACACATGGATTAAAAGATATCAATGACTGAAAAATCAGTATCACTCCTTTTTGTGGCTAGGATTCTTTTTCCTACAAAGATGATTTGTATTTGCAGAACTCTGTGTCTGTTTTTGTATTAGTCATGGAAGTAACCCAACCAGCATTCATGGTGGTAAAGAGACCAGAAGCTGCCTATTTTGAGTGTGAAATCAAGAACATGGGTAATGCTGAAGATCTAAAAGTAACTTTATTTAAAGAAGAAGACAATCGGTCCATTGAGATCTGCGCCTCAGCCTTTACTCACACTGGGATCTTATTAGGCAACAAGAAGGAAAACCAGAGATGCCAAGTTTATCCTGGTCATGACTGGGTAAATGTAACACTTTGGGGTTTACAGTCAAGTGATGCTGGTTTGTACATTTGCCAGATTGAACGGATATCCCCTCCACCCTACTATCCAGTCAAAGGAAAGGGGACTCAGCTCTTTGTCATTGGTGAGTATTCAGCTAATTATGAGTATTTGTAAATCATGCCAATTACTTTTAGGAGCTTCATGCCAGGTCTTCATGCAAGGAAAAGAAGGGTTTCTCTTTTTCTTTCTGGGGTGTGATCCTCTCCCTAGAACTGGGCAGCTTTTCCCAAACCAAACTTGGGTTGCCCAAGAAGTCTTTCAGGTTGACTGGATAGTTCTTTACCTGCACAGAAGCATCAAAGTACCATAAAGCTATTTTGATGCTTATTATAGGATGTCACAGATCTCAGTGTTGTTGCTGCATCACTTTATTTATTGACATGGAGATGTGCAAATAATAGTTTTGACCCATTCCCACTCCATGAAGCCTAGCAATGCACACTTAGGAATAAATTCTAAGTTTAAAATCTCCATAATCTTTCGAAGGTTTCAAGATGAACCTAGACAAAGACATTGTAAAAAAAATCTCACTGTGTTAAAATATAATTTGTTTTGTTCTGGTTTAATGCAATATTGCTAAGTCTTTTTAAGATTTATTTTTTTAAAAAAGTTTTTTATTTTTATGACAAACAAAACAACAAATAAAACCTTTCAATGTGTCAGTTTGGTACATATATCATGTGCACAATATCTATAATCCTTTCCTCTTAACTTTACATATAATATCATATTATATTTTAATCAACATTCTATATCATATTATATCATTATTATACTATCATTAAAGTTTTAATTTCAATTCCAGGCTATCTTTAAAAGCAAATCTCAATTCTTACTAAATTATATTAATAGTATAACTTATTCAAAAATAATCTACTATAATATATCATTACTATTACAATATACTTCAATTTCTTACTCTTCTGTCCAGCCATTGATAAAATAAATCCCAAATCTTATAATACTCCTTTTCTTCTTGCTCTCTAATTGCTAATGTAAGTCTGCTCATTTCTGCACATTCCATTATTTTCTTGATCACCTCCTCCTCCATCGGAATTTTCTCATTTGAGCACAATTCTAGCTGCAGTTAATACATTAATAATCAAATATGTTATTTCTTTCCTATAACCTTCAGGTAAAATCCCTAATAAAAATATCTCTGGTTTTAAATCTATATGCTGTTTTATCATTTTTCCAACCATGTGTGTATTTTAGTCCAATATCTTTTAGCTTCTGCACATGTCCACCACATATGGTAATATGTTCCAGGTATCTGATGACATTTCCAACATTTCGCCGATTTGTCCTTGAACATCTTTGTTATTCTTGCTGGGGGTAAGTGACACCTATACAAATTCTCTTTATAAGCTGTTGACATTGTTAATTTATAGTTTTTAGTCCTTAATTTCTGCCATTTATCCAAATCTATCTCATATCCAAAATTCCCCCCCCCCCCCAGCAATCATCATTTCTTTAACTTGTTCTTCTAATTTCACTCCTAATAAATAACCAAATTTTTTTTAATCATCCTCTCTTTAGTACCTTTTATCTAATTCAGTCAATTCTTTATAAAACTCATCTATCTTACTATCTTTTTCATATCTAGAATGTATTTGCATATATGAGTACAAATTCATATTTATCCCTTGTTCATCTAGTTCTTGCTTTGTTTTGAGTTCACTCTTTTCATTTAAAATTTCACTATATCTAACAATATGTTCCATGTTAAAAACATTTGGATATGCAAATGCCTCTATTGTTGATAACCAGACTGGTATTGTCAAATAATGTTCCCTTATTTTCTCCCATGTTGATAATAAAGCGTCTCTAATGTAATGTCTCCGAAAGTATCCATGTGCTTTACTTTCCTTGTACCATAAAAATGCATGCCACCCCAATTACAGATCATGACCTTCCAATATTAACAGTCTAGTATTTCTCAAAACAATCCATTCTTTCATCCACATCAATCAATATTACTGCCTGATAATATAATTCCCAATTGGGTAATCCAAAACCTCCTCTCATTCTAGTGTCCTGTAATAGTTTTAGTTTAATTCTTGTCTTCTTTCCCTGCCATATATCATTTATATATATCATATATCAACATCATTTAAATCCTCAAAATATTTTGTATGTATAAAATAATTCAAATATCTTTTTTCTGCCATTATTGGGGCAAATATTTTGTAATCTACATTAAGCAAGGATATAGGTCTATAGTTTTTTATCTAAATCAGTAAATTAGTATCCTCTTTTGGTATGAGAGTAATATATGCCTCTGTCCATGAGTGAGGTACTTTAGTTTTTATCAATACCTCATTCATTACCTCAAGTATTGTAATGCTGAGAGATTCCTGCAATGTCTTATAAAGTTCTGCTGGTAGTCCATCTGGGCCATGTACTTTCCCAGTATTTTGCCTATTTATTGCCTCTGTCAGTTCCATCATTGTTATTTTCCCTTCTAATATTATTTTAATTTTCCCAGGTATTTTGGGTAATTCTGCTTTTTTCAAATATCGTTTTACTTTTCCTTCTTCAATATTCTCTTGATCATATAATTTCTCATAATACTTCTGAACTATTCCTTTTCTTTCTTCATTCCCATAACAAATCATTTCATGTTCATCTATTAATTGTGCTGTCCTTTTCGATTCTCTCTCCTTTTTCAGTTTGTATGTTAACCATCTATCTGGTTTATTTGTGTTTTCGAAAAACTTCTGTTTTAGCTCTCCTAATTTTTTGTGCCAAATCTTTTTCCATCAGCCCCATTTTATGCTTAATTATTTCCATTTGACTTTTAAGATTCTTTTTTTGTGGATATCTTTGTATCTTTGTAGTTCTTTCTCCAGTTTCTTGTAGTCCTCTTCTAAGATCTGTTGTCTTTTTTTAATGCTCCTTCTTCTTGTGTAAGTTATCATCAGATGTCTAATCAGGGGTAGGATTCAAATTTCTTTACAACCGGTTCTGTAGGTATGGCCTAATTTGTGGGTGTGTCTTGGTGGTCATGTGACTGGGTGGGTGTGGCTTGCTGACTGGGCATGGCTTGGTGGTCATGTGACTGGGTGGGCATGACTTGTATGTAAATATTATAAATATTTATGTAAATATTGATTTTTTAAATTAAAAAATAGCAACTTTTACCCAAAAAGCATGCAAAGCAGGCAGGCAGATTGAGCTGCTCACAGAATCACAGATTCACTTAGAGATCTATCTATCTCCAATCGGCTACCTGAGTCTGTCACATAAAATTTGCTTGCAAGCAAACTCACAAAATTAACTCACAACACACCAGTATGTAAGTATTGAATTTTTTAATAAAAAAGAGCCACTTTTACCCAAAAGCAGGCAAAGCAGGCAGGCAGATTGAACTGCTCACAAAATCACAGATTCACTTAGAGATCTATCTCCAGTTGGCTATCTTTTATTTGCAAGTAAATAAAATTTACTTGCAAGCAAACTCCTAAAATTTACTTGCAAGCAAACTCATAAAATTTGCTTGCAAACAAATTCACAAAATTTTCTTGCAAGCAAACTCACAAAATTAACTCACAACATACCATGTATTTACATACATATTGATTTTTTTTATAAAAAAGAGAGCAACTTTTACCCCAAAGCAGGCAAAGCAGGCAGGCAGATTGAGCTGCTCACAGAATCACAGATTCACTTAGAGATCTATCTATCTCCAATCGGCTACCTGAGTCTGTCACATAAAATTTACTTGCAAGCAAACTCATAAAATTAACTCACAACACACCATGTATGTAAATATTGAATTTTTTTTTATAAAAAAGAGCAACTTTTACCCAAAAACAGGCAAAGCAGGCAGGCAGATTGAGTTACTCACAGAATCACAGATTCATTTAGAGATCTATCTATCTCCAATTGGCTACCTGAGTCTGACTCTGCACTGAAAAGTAGAAGCTTCAGTCCTAAGGAAGGTTCCGCTCTGCTTTTAGATTAGCTAGGAAGCAAGAAACCCAAGGATTTCTTGCTTTCTAGCTAACCTAAATCTCCTGGCGGAGCAGAATAGCTGATGGTCAGGGGAAAAAAGGAAAAATGTCAACTTACCAAACCAGGAAAGTTGGATGGCTCGCATGCCAGGTAAGGAGAGAGTGGGTGGGGAGGGGAGGGACCAGGTAGTGGAGTGATTTGCTGGTTCTCTGAACTACACATGTGTGCAGCGTTTGCAAGAAATCAACTGTGCCACCTGCACAAGCTGACAAGCGCTGCGCTTGGGTGCGCAGCTTTTGAAAATCCTCTTGTTTCTTGCTTTTTCAACCTCAGCTGTGCCGCGCAAAGCAGCTGAGGTGAAAAAAGCAGGGAATAAAGGACAGCCTAGAGCCCGGGCAGGTGGTTGGGCCAAACACCAAACTAGTTCGGTGTCAGCTGCTCTTCGCAGCTACCGGCTCTATAGAACTGGGCCGAAACATTAGCACCCCACCCTTGCCTCTAATATAGGCCTTCATTGTGTCCCATACATTTTGTAATGAAGTTTCCTCATTATTTTCTTTAAAGAAAAAGGCAGTTCTTTTTCCTATATTTTTTGTAAATTCTTTTTCCTTCAAAATGGAATTATTCAGAGTCCATCTTGATCTTTTCTTTTGTCCCTTCCATTTGACCCATATTGGATTATGGTCCGCCCAAGTACTTGTTTCAATATTTACTTCTTGTATATTTGAGATTAATTCCGTTGACATCCAAATCTTGACCATGATAAGTGTCTATTGGAATAAAATGTATATGGTCTATTCTTAACAATCATTTATCTCCAAGCATTTTGAATACTTAATTCCTCTACCATCTTGAAAAAAGATTTAGGCAATGTCTTTCTATTTTTTAAATTTACTTTCTGTGTTTTTTAGTCCAACTCTGTGTCCACTATAGCATTAAAATCTCCAAGAATACATATATTGTCATATTCCAATTCAATTATTTTCTTATGTAACTTTTTGTAAAACTCTTCTTGCTTATCATTTGGTGCATATATTGCTATTAGAAGTATCTTTAAATTATTGTCTATTATTTCCACCATCAATATTCTTCCTTCTTCATCTGTAAAAATTGGTTTAGCTTTTATTGTATTTTTAATATATAGGACTACTCTTCTTTTATTTTGTTGTGCCAATGAAGTATGTAAGTTCCCAATTCTGGGAAGGTTGAACATGTTGTTTATTAATGTACTTCTTGTAAGCAGATTGTGTCTAACTTTATTTTTTCTAGCTTATGAAACGTTTTTTTCCTTTTGATGTCCATTTATATTTATTGAGATTAACTTCTTTCCTTCTTCATTGTTTACACTTTATATGTAGGGTTTATTGCTCTCGTTGATCTTTACTCTTTTGCTTACTTTATTTCTACCCTTCCACCTATTGCTCCTTCTTCTCATGTCCTTTCTTCTCTTTTTTTTCTCCTCTCAAAGCTTATTTCCTCATCTCTTCTCTCTTCTTCTTTTCCTCTAAAGTATTTGTCATAAAATTGTTCTGCTTTCTCTATTTAATCCAATCTATGTCTTTGTTCTTGCCAAGTGAACATCAAATCAAGCCTTCTGGAATCAGCCATCTGTAGTTCACTCCTTTCTTAATTAGGATCTTTGTCAAGAATTGATATTCTCTTCTCAAATCTCTCACTTTTCTAGGTACTTGTTTTAGGACTGTAATCTCCTTTATATTTCAATGGGTCGTCTCTTGCTTTCTGTAATATTTCTGTTTTAATTGCTTTCTTAGTAAAACTCACATGGATTTCTCATAGCATATCTAGTATACACTCAGAATACTTCATCAATTCCATCCATCATTTTTTCTTTTGCTATCTCCATAGTTCCTGCCAACACTTCTATCATTATTTCTGCAAGGTTTTCTTCTTTTTTTTCCTCAATATTTTGAAATCTTAGGTAGAAGTCAGCTCTGTCCATCTCCCAGGCAATCATTACCTTCCCCTTATCTTGCTCAACTGCTGTCAGCCTGTTGTCTATTTCTCCTACTTTTTTCTCTTTCTGATCTTCTCTTTCTTATATTTTTTGCATTCTTTCTTCATCATCATCTGTTGTATATTCTCCATTTTCTCATCCATTTTTCCCATTTTCTCTTCCATTTTCCCCATTTTATCTTCCATATGCCTCCCTTGTTCTTGTATTGCTTGCATTATCATTTTTAATTCTTGCATTGAAACCTCCTTTTCCTTGTCCTTCTCCCTTTCCTTCTCCTGCTGTAACATGGCTTGTATTGATCGCTGACCCACTGGACTTAGAGAGGAGGAGGTAGGGATCAATGAAACTGTAGCAGCTGTCTTTCTCATCTCTGGTTAATTGTAATCCCAATCAAAAGGTATCGCCAATAAAAATTTTCTTCAGGTCTCTTTTACCTTAATCCAATTATAAAGGAAGAAAAAATAAAAAGAAGAAGAAGAAAGAGAAAGAGAAACCAAATTCTTCATCCTAAGGAACAAAAAACGTTAAAATATATATATAAGAATTTAAAGATATAAAACAAAGAGTTTAAAAATACAAAATCCTCAAAGAAGCAATATAAGAAAAAGGAGAAAAAACAATAACAACAATAAGGAAAAAAGTAAACAGAAAAAGTAATCCACTGGTAGTATTTATGAATGAAGGGAGGGAGGTGAATGAAGGGAGGGAGGTGAATCCCAACAAAAAGGCTAAAGCAAAGGGGGGGAAAAGGAAAAGCAAAAAAGGCCCAGGAGAAATACCAACAATCAGGAAAAAAAACACAATTGAAAATAGTAAAGCTGTAGTTTCAAATATAGGTCACAAAGAAAATCCAGCCACCACGTAGTATCCAAAAAGCCAAAGTCAAAGAATCAACAAGATATAGTACAAGGTCACAGTAGTCTTTTCCCTTTCCACTTCAATCTCCAGCTGTTTAGATTGTTTTGCGAGAGCAACACCTGTTTAAACAATTATTATTCAGTGCTCAGCTCTATCTTCTCTTGAATCTAAACAGCTTGTAACCAAAATAATTTGTTCACGTTTGATCTCTTCAGCTTTTTTTGTAGTCTCTAGGTGGCACTATTGCTTTACTTTCACTACTTTATTATATTGTAACAAAAAAGTTTCTAGCAAAGTTCACTTTTAAAAGAGAAAATAAAAAGGGAAAAATAGTCCAAATTCTATATTTAAAGTAAGAATTAAAATTTATCTTCCTTTAGTTATTATTATAAAGTCCAGTCCAGTTAAAAGTTAATCTCTTATTGAAGCACAGTAAAATAGTCTTAATTAAGTTTGACAGTAAAGATATGCTCAATTTCACCGCTTATTTTCTCTTCTGTCTTCTATCTTCTTAAAACCTTTTCCCCCTTAGGGTACTCTTTCATTCTTAGCCAGAAAAAAATTAAAAAGTCTCACCCAAAACCGACACACTTTCTTTCTGTATCTTCTTCCATTCCTGAACTTTCCCAACCTTTCAGCAGCTTTTAAATGGCCGCTTTCCTCCAGCCGGATTAGAGTGCTTTTCCTGGATCAACCAGGGTCTTTGCAGTGTCCCTGAGATAAGCAGGATGCGCTCTCATCTTCCATGGTTTCTCCAGGACAGTTCAGGTCCAAATGGACTGTCCAGCTGTGGGGATTTCAACAGCTCCTGGAGCTCTCATCGTGATGTCAGCCCTGCCCTCTTTTTAAGATTTGTTGTAGAATCTTTGAAATGATTTTTTTTTAATCTTTCAGATATAGATTCTTGCCCAGATAAACATCTCTATCTTTGGATCTTAGTACCAGTAGCTTCTGGGTTGCTTGGATATAGCATTTTAATCACAATCTTCATTATGACAGATGTAAGTATCATAACAGAACACAGGGGAAGCAAATCAGCAAGAATTATTACTATAGTGAACTTAGGAGAATTTTTCACACACTTTGCGTATTTTTATCTATGTAAAGCAAAGTTCTCCTATGAATTCTGTGTTAGAAATTATTATGATTAACAAAGAAATGTCTTAGGTCCTGCTGGCTATACATTCTGGGACTACCATGGTCAGTTTATGATTTTGGTGCTGTGCCATGTGCACAAAGAGACTTGAAATTCTCTGAAGCTATGAAAACTTCCATCAATTGCTTCCTGGCTTCAGATGGTATGAGTTTTTAACCACCATAATGAGGCTTCGGTGACAAAACTCCACCATCTGTTAAGGGAAAGGGAGGTGAGCAAAACTATATGCCCTTGCTGGGAACAGAGAAACATATCAGAAATATATTTGGTGAATTGTATTGGTTTCTGAATACAGTTTAGAAAATTTAACTAGTTATCAGTCTTCATCTTCCCCCACCTGCCGTTAAATACTAGAGAATATAGTCTCCTGCATTCTACCTGATGGCGTAAAAATGTGATGTGATTCAAGTGAGATTTCAACTTCCCTCTTTTTTTAAATCACTCAAATGTTATTAAATAATGGTCAAGTATTCTTAATCCAAGTAATTTATGTATATTCAGTAGGAGGATTCATTTAATTGTCACCATTTTGGTGTCACACAGATATAGTAGCAAATCCATGATTATATGGTATCTTAAATGGTAACTAACTACATTTTGTTTTTTTTTTAAGTGAATGTGATTGAATCAGGTGATCTGCTTAAATCATACTGTTCAAAACCAACATCCTGGTGTTAAAGATACTCATAATTGCTATTGCTTTATTTTATTTATTGTTATTTTTAAAGGACAGCTCACTAGGAAACAAAGCAATTCTACACCCACTTTCTTTCTCAAGACGTTTTTAATATATTTGCTTCCAATAACAGGCATCTAAATAATAGTACTTGTGAATTCACTTTCACATCAAATTTAGTCCATAAACTACTCACTTCGTTTTAAACTACAATCCTGTTTCTGCCATAATTGGCATTTTACAATAACCAGTTGTGAAATTAGAGATATCATTACTGACAACTATTTTCAGATTATGCCGTGTTTCTCATATAATAAGGCCGGGTCTTATTTTTTTTCGAGCCCCGAAAAAATGGCTAGGCCGTCTTTTCGGGGGTGACTTAATTCCCCCTCCCTTGCATCTTTGGGCGGGCAGTGACAGCTTGGATGTTGACCTCGGCGTTGGTGGGGCACTTCGTATCGGGGTCAACGCAGGCAGCACCATATTCGGGTGTGCAACAAAAGTACTTCCTAATGGCAAGCCCCCCCATCATTCCCCCCATTTTGCATGTTTTAATATAGGCCTTAATTTGGGGGGAGGGGCTTAATTTCATTTCATGCCTATAAAACATGCTGGGACTTCCTATTGGGGGAAGCCGTATTGTTGGAGAAACAGGGTAGATACCAATTTATAAAAATCTAGAGTAGCATTTAAAACTTTTGTTACATGTGGTTTCAGATAACATTTCTTTTATTTTACAGGTCAGAAAAAGACATTTTTCTCCTGGGACTTATGAGAAAATGATACCAATGTAATCAGAAAGAAAAGGACTTTAATGGAAAAAGGGGGAAATGATTTCTATGAAGTATCAATGAAGAGAATGAAGTTCCTAATAACTAAGAATGTAATTATAATTTCAAGATTGGAGAATGAGAGCCAAAGCAATGCATTAATATGTAAATGCTGAAATTAAATAACAAATCTATTGAATCATTGAATTCATTTGAATGCATCTATACCTTTCCCTAGAGCAAGGTCATTTTTCCTTGTGAAAAATTACCACAAATTTAAAATAGTAATAGCTTTACATTTAGGGTCTTGTGTTATATTCAGTCCAATTAGTAGATAAAGTATTTTGTGGCATGCTCCATTCCAGATTAGCGGAATTGGTTTCTGAGCTCAACTTTTCCATTGGCCAAATATGCTTGATTTTTGGTCTTACCCTTTTATAATATTTGAATTTCTTGTAGAAGCAAACCAAGGCAGAGGAAACAAGACAAGACCAGTTGTTAACATAACCAAATAAATAAAATTATAGCAACAAAACCAAATCAGAGTAAGGCCAAGAAGCCTGTACTCCAAAGATGCTTCCTGATAATAACATTTATATCTGACTATGAGATAAATTCAGGAATCAGAATAATAAACTTACATCTGCCTTAGACTCAAATTCTCTTCACTTGCATCTCCTAAACTGCTAAATGTGTGCGGCTTTGCTCCGCATTTGGAAGGCTGCCCACTGGGTGGTCGAATGCATCAAGAAAGACACCAGGCCGGTTCTATCTCGGATGAGCTGCCCCGATTATGAGCTCGGGAAGCTCTTTTATTAAAAACACATAGTGATACGTCATAAGCAGTGAATTCTATCCAATCATTCTGTTACATGAGCAGAAATATTAGTGGACACATAGTTGCATCCAATTACAGTGCATAAGGTCAGTTTAGAGGGTACAAAGTAGCCAATTAGCGTTTGCAGTCCAGTTATTAGCCCATGGTGACGTGTTGTTGATTGATGTTCCTGGTACACGCTTTCAGCCTACGTGAGGCCTTGAGGCCTTGAGGCCTGGTATGTACCGAAACTATTGAAGCTAATTTATTACTGCATCTCCTCTGTTTTAGTTTTATAGAGAGAAATTTCTTCTGGATCTTCGTCACTGCCCATGCGAAAATCTGTGCGAGCGCACGCATCAGGGTCTTCTGAGGGTATGACTTTGTACAGAGGTTCCTTTTCCCAGAGGGCATTAACCTGTGCAATGGCACGCTTTTCAGCTAATAAAGACAGACTATTGGTGATAGTGCGAATAAAAATTGGTAACATACATGGAAGAATAACGCATCCTGCAGCAATCATACCTATGAGAGCTACTATAGCTTGTAATCCTGGTAGTTTTGGAAACCAGGAACTAAAAATATTTTTAAGATCAATACCTTGCCATACTTGATTAGGATTGTAGGTTAATTGTCGCATCTCAGTTGTTAATTGTGCTACTACTTTGCCAACTTTATCAATTTGAAGACAAAAATTTGTGAGATTGAACCTACCACATACCCCTCCTTCTTTGGCTAGTATGTAATCTAAAGCCAAGCGATTTTGGTAGACAGCTGTGCATAATTTATCTGTAGCAGTCGCTAGAGTGTTTGGAGCCTTATCTATTCGTTGGCCTGCTAAATCTAAAACAGCTTGTAAACGAATGATCCTATTAATCATATATATGGGGGTTCTATATCCATAGGACCCATCTTGGGAAGATGTTGTGTCATTGAGATAAGGGAGGAGGGAGGTGTTGAATTTGGCAGGTGTGGTGGTAGCATTGTCAGGTGCTGTCCAAGTCTGGTAGGAGTCATCCCATGTACCTAAGCAAAGGAGGTGTCCTACTGGAGTGGACCCATTTCGGGAAAAGCAGTTTCTACCAATTAAGTTGGTGGTAATTGTCCAGATAAGTGGATCGGAAACTGTTCTAGCTGTTATGTTTCCTATCAAAGACATGTTGTTGAACAGTGATGGTGAGGCTTCTAAGGCTTGCCACAGCCATTGTTCTCCTGTGGTGGTTCCCCCACAGACAAAACAATTGGTTATTGCAAGTTGTTTTGCAATTTTTTCTGCCATATCCATGAACAAGTTTTTTGCAATAACACTGGTATCAGAGGCTTTATCTAATTTCCTCAAATTATTATATACCGACCAGCCTAACGATGTTTCCTTACCTTCATATATTATTTCGGTTGTTATGGTAATTAAGTGTTTGGATCAGATCCTGTGCCATCAATCCGTATACCATAAGTATCCAAGGCAGGGTGTTGTCTGGAGATGGTGATTTCTACCTTATTGTCTGTGGTAGACCCTGATAGTCATTGAAATGTGATAGGTGATTGCAACCTGAGTACCCTCCCCCGGTATAATCACAGACACAAGACCAACCTGAGCACTCGATGGAGCCTCCACAAGGGACCCATTGATTGGGGTTCCCTATGGCCCAATTAGTGGGTGTAAGACACAAATATTTATGATTGTGAGCGTATGTTGTTTTCCAGTCATCCGACCCGCATGAATACCCCCCTGGTTTAGAACAAGCAACACAAACATCAAAGGTTAAAACAATTGGGTTAGTACCATCCTTGAGCACGGTGGTGTGGTTTAGGTAATAAAGTTTTCCCTCCCCCTCAGGATCAGATCTGCCAGAGGCTCTTGGAAGTCCCGCCCATAAGGTAACGTTGAGACGTACCTTGGGATCGTAGCAAATGGTTTTTGAGTTCATCTTACATAGATGGTACATGGTTCCGTTGTTTTGGCAAGTTTTTCCGGTAGGAAGGCATTTCTGCGGTTGTTGGGTATGGTAGATGAGAGTTAGTTGAATGAAGCCTGCTTGTGTGGTTTTGGTCAGGCAGGGGGTGCAGCCATCTGACACTCTGGTGGGATTCTGCGATCTCTTAACCCGATGTAGAAAGGGTGGGGCTGAGCATGAATGTCACGCTGATTCGTGAATTGTCTGTGATGACGATGGGGTAAACGGGGTCTGAGGACTGTCCATGAGTCATAAATGTTACGTATGGAATCATAGAGGCGTCGACCAGAGCAGTAATAGGCAGTGGCAGTAGGACGAAGTATGAGGAGTGTAGTCCGAGGAGGGCGTTCAAAGGTGTTGATCTGGAAAGAGGCATGGCTGGAGATGTGGAGCCATGGCTGAGGGAGTGTCGACCATCTGAGATAGGGGGGGAAAATGTCCCCAGATGCGGTGCAGGTCAGCAGGAGGAGAGTACCTGGCGTAAAGTATGTCACTCGAGATGAAATGGAGACCTTGGAGGCATGTGCAGCAAGAAGGAGGAAGAGGGTCAGCAAGGCAACGAGACGAATCATGTTGGTATGTCTGCGGGTGGTGATTTTTCTACCTTGGGGTGGTACGGTCTGACGTGCCGTCCAGGAACCCACAGGACACGATCTGGAAGCTGGATAGCTGCGTAGCCGCGACCCCAGGTGAGGAGACCAGCAGGGCCCTTCCAAGTAGGGTCTGGCAGTTGGCGGTAGTATACCTGTGGTTTGGGAGAATCAGGGGAAGGGGGGGAGGAAAAATGTCGCTCCGCTGCCGTCATTGCAGGGGTGCCAGAAAGATTGAGGAAGTTGAGAGTATAAAGACAGAGATTAAGAGTGTCTTGCATCGCCGGGAGGCTAGGGGTTCTTTTCCCTTTGATCAAATGTCGTTCTAATGCTGTTTTTAGCGTTAAGTTAGTTCTCTCTACCAGGGCTTATCCTTGACTATTATAAGGAATCCCAAATTTGTGAGTAATTTGCCACTTAGTGCAAAATTCTGACATAGCTGTGCTAGTGTATGCAGGACCATTATCTGTTTTTATTTCATTTGGGCGTCCCAACGATGCAAAAGTGCGAATGCAATGATTGATGACATGTTTGGAGGCTTCTCCTCTTTGCGGGGTCACCATTATGAACCCTGAATAAGTATCAATTGTGACATGCAGATACTTCCAGGGGGCAAACGGAGGAAACTGAGTAACGTCCATTTGCCATATTTCGCAGGCTTTCAACCCGCGGGGATTTACCCCTAAGGGAATGGAATGGGCTTGTTGACTACAGGTGGGGCATTGCTGTCTAATGGCTGAAGCTTCGGCCATAGTGAGGTTGAAATGTTTCATGAGAGCTTTGGTGTTTTGATGGAAGTATGAATGGCTCTCCCAAGGAGTCAATGTGTGTGATGTCATGATGCCTGCAGCCGCTTGATCAGCCACATCATTGCCTTCCCGGAGGATTCCCGGGAAGGGTTGGTGGCTGCGAATGTGTGCTACAAAGAGGGGGTGCTGGCGCTGTGCAACAAGGTGTTGCAATGTAACAAAAAGAGAGATAAGGTTTTTACCAATAGCGGGAGAGAGATAAGCATCGTGAATAGTAGAGACTATTTGGGTAACAAATAGGCTGTCTAAGATCAAGTTGAGGGGTTCGTTAAAATTCTGGAGGACTAATATGGTTGCAGCAAGCTCAGCCCTTTGTGGGGATATCTGCACAGGGGTGGTTTTAGTGTACCACACCCCATTTCTTTGCCAAGCGCATGCCCCTCGTTCCCTACTGCCATCAGCAAATATAGTCAAGGCATTGACCAAAGGTTCTTTGCTAATGGGAGAGGAGAAAGAGATGGGTATTGTCCGAATGATTTGAAAATGTGGATCAGCGGGCGGGTGGCAGGAAACTAGTCCAGGCCAGTCGGCTAAGGCAAACTGAATTTCCTGGGAGTTTTGGAATAGAGATTCCCATATTTGTAGTGAAAAGGGAATAAAAAGTGTGGAGACATCTATTCCCATAAGTAATTTTTCACGGCTCCTGCCTTTTATGATCAATTGAGCCAATTGAGCTGATTTGGAAGTGATGGAGCATCGTGGCGTATGGGAAAGATGGATCCACTCTATGATGTGGAGTTTTTGGTCCTTTTGAGTTACTGCTGCGGTCATAAGCCTCAGGGTGGCTAAAATGACCATATCTAGAGGAGTATTGGCAGCAGCTCTGTCTACCCATATTTTTCGAATATTCTCTTCTATTTGAGTTATTGCTTGAAGGTTGCTGCAAGGATATTATGTCAGCAGGCTTTTTTCCCCAGGTAAGGGCTTCAAACAATGGAGAAAGAATATCAGTGGTTAAAGAGAGGAAAGGTCGAGCCCAGTTTATGGTACCCAGATATTGCTGAAGTTG